TAGGGCTCAGCTCAGCTTCTTGTGGCCATTGTCTCTACACATAGTCCTGACTTGTGGGGTGATTTTAAGAGCCGACTGAACCCTTTTCCCTGTGTGTCCCCTGACTTCAGCTCAGGAGATGGCCCAGAGCACATGGGGGAGGATGGCCTGGGGCCAGCCTGATGCCCTCAACTCTCTGTAGAATGTCAGGACTCGAGGGCCTCAGTGTTCACATTTTGCTGGTGAGGAAACTGAGGCTCCAGGAGGAGAGGGGAGGTCCCCAGGATTAAGCAGCATATTAATGAGAGAGCTAGGAAAGTATTCCAGCTCATAGTCATCAGTAACAAATGTGTGAAGATGAGTAATTCATTCCTCTGTTGATTTTCTGCTGGTGTATCAAGAGACAGGGAAGCCAGCCATGCCACCTGCCCTCAAAAGTAATACTTCTGGAGTTCACAGTCTTAATTATTTGGTGGTCAGCTAAGTATCAGCAGCTTTTTAGTGTGACACTCTGTAATTAATCTGTAAAATAAACCTCCATGCTAAGTCTTATTTTCTCGGCTTTGCAGTTGACGAAGCTGAGAAACAGAGAGATCCAACCGCCTGCTCAGGACGGCCGCGGCAGAGAAGGTGCAGCTGGGATTCCTATTCTTTCCCATTGTCCTTAGCAGTTTCATCCGGACATTTTAATGCTGAAAGTCAACTTAGAACTAAAAGACATATGGTGATCAATCTCAGAACATATTCTGAGCGTATCAACTGCTGCTGAAAGAAAAAAATGCATTTTACTTAACACACATTGCTGACCTTGTTTGTCCTCTGTCTTCTCTGTTAGAGAAGCCCAGTGGAACTTTAAAAGAATTCTGTTAGCTCCAATCTGTTGTTCCCAGATAATCTCGTATAATGAGCTCTTGGATTTTGGAAAAGGAGCTTTGACTCCTGAGAGCAAATACTCTTGGAAATTATTGGTCATGCCACTTTAGGGGGTGGGGGTGTCCCCTCACTGGCCTGATGTGCTGTATCCTCTCCCAGGTGACTCAGGGCCGGAATTCCTAAAGTTTCCCAGCATCTGGGCTGACTTCCCACCTGGCCTGTGCTGAGCACCTTATAACAGGAACTTTCTAACGTGGCCCCCTCATGCGAGTTTCCTTCGGCCTTCACTGTGCTTTTCAGATCTTAATCATCTTTCCAGGTTTGCTTGTTAGGTGAAGATTTTTTTGCTGCATTTCATGGTTTCTGGTTGTATGAATTAGGATGGGCTAGGCACAGCTGTAGTAACCAAGAAGCTCCCCATTTAAGGTATAATCCAGCCAGGGTCAATTTCTCTTCCACTCCACATGTCCTGCATGGGACAAACAGAGAGGGTCTGCCCATCCTGTGACACAGCAACCAGGCTGATGGGGCTTCATCTCCTCACTTCCCTGCTCCGGAGATTCTGACTCTAGATCCTTTTATCATTCCAGATAAAACAATTTCAGTAGGCAGCATGATACTAAATACCAAAAATAGTTCTCAGTAAAGTCTTGCTACCGTTTGAGTGCCTGCTATTAGCATTTTTGGAGCTTGGATAACCAGCCCCCTCTGCCCTGCTCAGTGCCAGCCATTTGAGAGAAAGGACAAATAAATAAGATGTATTTTGTTTGTTTGTTTGTTTGTTTGTTTCTGACATTAGAGCATGTGGGTTATGCCTGTTGGAACTCGGGCTTCCAAATACTGATCCCTGAGTTAGACAGCTTCATAACCTTCTGCAATGTGACATCAAAGCCAGGCCTCTCTTTGACCAGCACCTAGGATGGAGGAAGATTTCTGGTTGGCATGACAGGACAAAGAACTTTAGAGAAATAAGCCTTTCATTGAGACCTCATCTTTTATTCACCTTTTGCCTATGAGGAAACTGCAGCATAAAGAAGCTGTGGGACCTCTGCAAGCTCACACAGCCTGCTCTCTCCTAGTCTGTCCCTTGTGATACTGTCAAGTCTCCTGCCATTCTGGGTTGCTGCCTGTGTCCCTGCTGGGAAGGAGTTAGCTCCAGTGAGAATGCCTTTCTCTGACATCTCCACCCAGGACCATCCTTTTAGAACTGACCCAGAAGGCTGGTCATTGTACTGTAGCTTACGCCTGCAATCCCAGCATTTTGGGAGGCTGAGACAGAAGGATCACTTAAGGCCACATTTCTAACTCAGCTGACATCAGCAGGACACAGCAGCACCATGTCTATGGTCCTCACTTTCCCTGGAGCCACCTGTTGGGCAGAGCTGGCACTGCAAGTCAAAGTTTCATTTATTTAGGCTTAAAGTCTAATTTGTTTGTTCTCTCCCTGGCAAACTGCTAGGTGAGGTGACTCTGAGGTCCCTGTTGTGACTCTGAGGTCCCTGGCTGAGCTAGCATCCTGTTTTCTGTGTTTCCCTCTCATCTGTTTCAGAGCAGAGTGGGGGTTCTACCTTTAAAAGAAAACTGACCCAGAACACCCCAGAAGTCTTGGCTACTCTGCCTTCACCTGGAGCTCGGGCAGAGCAGGTGGGCTAGAGGCTAGAGTTCTTAACTATGATTCCATATGCACTAAAGAAGTGTGTGCAGTTGGCAGTAGCCAGCCCCAAGAGTGAGAAGACCTGCCTTCTACAGTGGACAGGCCACATAACCTGTTTGGCCTCAATTTTCCCATCTGTACAGTGGGTTAATGATTCCCAGCCTGTGTCCTTTAAGACCTGTTTTGAGGATCAGATCAAACAAGTAATAAATTTGTAAAAGCTCTTGAGAATAAGGCAAGGTGAGAACTTTTGGATGTCCTGCCCATGACTTGTGGCATACGTTTCTCTTCCTCGTGGCAAGGTTGTCCTGATGGTCTGTCTACCCAGAGCCCTTTGGTTCCCACAGGTGCCAGTGAAGTCCCTCTGGGACTGGAAGCTGATTTGAATTCAGTCTCTCCCGGCTAGACTCCTGACTCATTTGGGACAGATAACTCTTGAAAGCACAATGACAGTGTCTAAGGTGAGCCCTCAGCCTCTTTCCCTCCCCTGCACTTTCAGGGAGTCCAGTCTGCCTTTGGTTCAGCCCCTCCTCGCCTGCAGAATGCCAATGTTGAGAATAATGTGGAGTCATGCAGGTTTTTGCTTAGGGCTATGAGTTGTTTGAGCATGAGTGAAATGAGCTTCAACAGAGTGGCTGCTCCCACATTGGGCACAAGTTATGGTTCTCATGAGCAGGAGGCCACCAGCAATCCTTATGGTTTAAGGAGGAATTAGCTCTGCATAAATCCAGTGTGGGCCCTGAAGGGGAGCATTGGAGTGAGATGGTGCAGTGTGAAGGAAAAATAGAGCCCATGAAGCTGGGTCTTCTACTTACTAGCTAGACATGGTGGCAGACCGGTAGCGTCTCTGAGCCTCAGTATCCTCACCTGTGGATTTGACATATAAGAGCACAGCAGATCTACTCACAGCATCAAGGTGCTGCTATGATGATTAAATGAGAAAATGCTGGGAAAACATTTCCCGGGGTGTCAGATTCATAGAAGGAGCTCAGAGATGCAGAAATGCAATCTCGTATATTACTCTGCTCAGAAGCTATAAAAGTTGTCTCATCTGATTTGAGCCTCATGCCAACTCAGAGGTAGCATTTAGTATAAATGATGAGGAAACAGGCTCAGAGAGGTTTGGTAACTTCAGTACCATCACACAGCTGGGTAGTGGCACAATCTGAACTTGAGTCCACGTCTTCAGCCCCTCAGGTCTGGCATCATTCTCTGTGCTCGAGGCGGATGGTACCACTCATGTATGTGTGGAAGGTGAAGACGTCTAAGTGAGTAACCTCCAGAGAACACAACACTTACGTGGAACACAGCTGGTACCCATTGACAAGACTGAGTCATGTCAAATTACTAGTATTTCACCATTTGAACTATGATAATAACAATTTCATATAACTCAACCCAGTGCTTCAGGTTGTGTGTGGTTAGATGGTGATTTCTACATTGGTGTGGAATGGGACAAGACTATTTCTAGTAGAGACAGCCGGGGCAGGGGGAGCAGATGCCTTCAGCTGGAGGCCCAGGGGTCTCCCTTGCTGCTGCAGCCATCTGAAGGACTTTGGAAGATGGGAAATAACCTCCTGCCATGCCACCGGCACTGTGGTTGACCTCTGAAAGCCATGGGGAGAGCCAGGGCAGGAAGATGCCAGGCTTCACGTGGCCCCAGGAGAGGATTATGAGGTGGGCAAGAGGGTCTATGGGTGCTGAAGAATCCTGTTAATGATCTTCCAGAGCCATCGACAGGGCCATGGCCATGTAATTAGGAAGGAGAAGAGAATGTAGAATAAGTGATTTGGTTGGGCCAGATGGAGTGTGAGGAGCAGATAGAAACTAAGACCCAGAGATCTTCCTCTTGACCTTGGAAAAAGGGACCTGCTTTTAAAAGGAAATGCTTCAAGATTTCTGGGGGAGCAATGAAACCAAAAGGACAGAGGTGGGTGTCCTGGTCCAGCCCCATGGAGAAATGGCCCAGGAAAAATCTACCTCAGCTGCTTTTAAGGAATACCATGAGAGATGTAGGGCCCAAGCCTGGTCAAGTGGAACAAGAAGAAGACATGATCTCTTCCTTCTGTTGCTAAAGATGCTGCCGCTCACTGCCAGGATGTGAGCCTACAGCTCTGGGAGCCCCAGGTAACAACCTAGGGGTTGACATGGCAAGACCTAACAACCTGAGGGGCTCCGGATGTGGGCAGTGAACAGTGGGGAGGGAGGGTCAGAGGAGGATGTGAAGACACTGGATGGTCCTGGGGCTGCAGGCTGGTGTCTGACCTGAGTGAGGCCCTCCTTGGAGTTCCCAGACATGGCAGGACATTCTGGAGCTCTTCCACAAGTGGAAGGGCCCTGCACCTGCAAGGTTGGGTCCAGCCACCTTCTTCTGTGCCCAGCATGTGCCTGCCCAGCCCAGGTGCTCCATGACAGCAGACCCCAGAGAGGGTGCTGTGACCTGGGTCCCACATGCAGCCTCAGTGTACAAAGGAAGACTCAGACAACTGGGGGGTTTTCAGTCACACACAGGTCGGCCAACTCAGCCCTTCTTTAATGTCGTCGAGGCAGGGGCCTGCCCTGGCCTGGCCTGGAAAGGAGAGGCTGAAGCCAGAGATGCAGTTATTTTTGGGTGGGATTTACTATTTTTCCCACAAAGAGGGGACTCTTGGTGATTTCATAATAAATCAAGAAGACAAAGGGCCTGTTTAACTTGACATCAGGGGGAATGGACATAGGTATAGCTTCCATAAATGTGGCCCCAGCAGCTTCTGTCCCTTTCTCGTCGAGGGTCAGTACAGCCTTATGTACAGCCTGGAGGGGAGAGAAGCAGAGGTGGTTCTGAGGCTGTGCCCTACCCAATCCCAAGCCTGGCAGCAAGAACCCTGTGGGGAGCATTGTCCTAGAAGGGCTCACTTGACCTTTTCTCCACCTAGAGGCTCCTACCATGTCTACACCCTCCCCTGCTGGTCACACAAGGCCCTTCTCTTTCCCTCAAGGCTCCCGCTCCCCTTCCCTCTTCCTCTCGGACCTATCTCCCTTACCCTCCTTGGGATACAACAAAACTCAGAAGGGGGGAAGATAGATCTCACTCTCACTGTCTCCCTCCACAGGTCTCTCATCTCTGGTATACTATTTTAGGTCCTTATGGACAGGACTTGATAGTGACCTTGACAGAGCTTACTCTATAAACAGGTGCATCATATGCAGCCCCGAATGGAACTGCACCTGTTCTTTGTTTCCCTCTTATTTGCCCGAATAAGCGGCATTTTTAGCTGAAATTATTCATCAACTCCAAATTGATAATTTACTAGGAAGTCTAATTCTCACAGACGGAAAAGGCTAGAAAGTCCTTTGAAATCCCTGAGCCTGTTTCTGTGTACATAAATATATTGAAGCCCAAAGTTTAGAAAGTCCTGGGCAAAGATGAGACCAAGGGTCAGAGGCATGAACTCCAGGGAAGTCTCTAAAATGACAGCAGCACAGGAGGCCACATGCTCAGTTCAGCCACCTGACCACACCCCATAGCAGTGAATCTGGGGCATACTCAGCTCAGCCTGCAACAGTATTTGTGTCCCTGGGCCCTTTCCTCGGGACAGAACTATGCCCAACCCCGCTCCATCCTCTTATGCACTATAGACACCAGGGGACAACACCATCACCAGGGTGACCTCACCTTGGAGAGCTTCAGGGGTACCTCCTCAGTGACCCCTGAAAGGTCAGCCCCATTGCTGAAGAGCTTAGTCATGCCCAGTTCACTCAGTACTTTCTTCATATCGTAGGTTCCAGAAATGGACAGTTTGGGGAGATATACATTGGCAGACCTATCAAGCACAGAAGAAGATGGAAGAGTTTCACAGCATCTCTCTTGTTCTTCTGGGACCCACCACATAGTAAAGTGTTTTCTTTTCTGACTGTTTCTCCCACTTTGTACTGGATCCTCTCTTTCCCCTGACTCCACGCTGGGAAGTTGTCCTTGGTTTGTTCTAGCTTTAGCTCCTCTACACATGAGGTCAGAGAACATGAACATCAAAGGGATCATCTTGTTCTGACAGCTTCTGCAATGCCACCTCCTCTGAGAAGCCCTCCAGGAAGATCCTGTATGTCCTTGAAGCAGATCTCATCCTGCTCTGTAGCCTTTGGTCACCCTGACACCAAGCCTGGAGTATCCCCAGGGCCTGACACCCAGGGGAATGTGGGTCACCAGAGCAGGTGCCGAGTGACATTCATTCAGTGAATGAAAGGAGAGTGACTACACCAGGATGAATGCTCAGCTGTTGTGTTCCTTGGGGAAAAAGTGTCAACCCAAGAAGTTTCTGACATGAGCCAGTAGACTATACCAGGGCTTTCAGTGAGTAGTTCTGATTTCCCTGCCTCTTTCTCTCTTCTCAATCCCTGGGGCAGGGATGTCAGGAGGGTGCTGGCAGGGAGCAGAGGCATTCAAACTATTTGTATTATTAAACAGATACTATTTGTATTTTCATATTTGTTTTAGCATGTGCATAAGAAACTGGGTCAGCAGGGCATGGGTATATTTACAAATGCACAAGCATACACTAATTGGTGGTGCATGCTCAGTATTATTTACTATTAGGCACCCAACCCAACCACACTGATGAACTGGAGTATTCTGCAAACATGTCCTGGATGTCCCAGTTCTGTCCCTTGCTTTCCTGGGCCTTGTCCACGCAAGCTCTTCCTCTGTCCACCCAGGGACATTTTACCCTGAACTCCACACTCCACTGCTGCCTCTAGTAGGAGGCCTATCTTTTAATTCTTGGTTCTGTAAGAACATGTTTTGGCATTGCTATCCCTGCCCTGGGCACTGGTAGTGGGAAGGCACGGTGTCTACCCTTAGGTACTATCCCTTTCACAGAGTCTGCTGGTGCTCTCTGAACTCAAGGTGGCTCCTGTGTGGAAGAACAAGATTACGTACAGCAGCAGTCACTAAGGGATGTTGGGCCCACCCTCCCCAGCCCTCTGGGTGATCCTGATGTGCCTCAGTGCTGATGTGGTTCAGATGTCTAGACGTGAATTGGGCCAGCCCCAGCTGGGGAATTACCTTCTTTGTCTGTTGTCCAGGAACTTGGTCACAACTTCCTTGGTGAGTTTGTCTTCCAGGTGCTGTAATTTCCCCTCATCGGGCAAGAAGAAGATGGCGGTGGCATTGCCCACGTAGTCCATCATCAGCACCCAGCTGGAGAGCATCTCACAGTAGTGGGTGTTAAACATGCCCAGGCGATTCATCATGGGCACCTTCACTGTTGTCGTCTCATCCACATGGAAGTCCTCTTCTGTGGTGAGCTCAGCTTCGAAGGGTTTCTCCCATTTGCCTGGAGAGTAGGGAGGATGAATGTCAGCCAGGGGTGGGGGAAAGTCTGATAAGTTCAGCAGGGTAAATATCCTACCCTAGGGAGATATCTACCCGAGCTTCAGCTTCTTCATCTTCATCTGAGAAAGAGGCTGAAACCAATGGTCCAGGCTGCTAAAAAGGATTTTGTGAAGATAATTCCAGACTAGGGGAAGAGCCAGAATTTCTATTTCGCAGATGCTAAGAGAGGCCATGCTGGCTGTACCTATTAAGCATATTTGTTAGAATTATATGATTATTTGAGGGTGGCTTGGGGGTTAGAAAGGAAAATTTGGGGCTTTGGTCATATAGGGTACCACCAGACTGGAGCTCTCTGCTCCTGGTTAATTGGCACTTCAGCTGTCATTTAGGGCAAACATTCTGGTTCCCGTGCCTGGGAGTATTTCTTGGACTGACATGCAGAATGCACATGACCGGGAAGCCTTCCTTTGTTGTGTCAAGAGAACTTCACCATTGAGTCAGAGGAGGCATGGGGCTCAGAGACCCCTAACCCCAACTTTCTCATGGGACTGGAGGAGGAGAACAGGGCTGCAGAGGGCACAGGGTCTGCTCTAAGGCCACAGCTGAGCTGGACCTGTGCTGACTCCAGCCAGGGCACTTCCCACTGCATTATTCTGCCTGATGAACAAGGGAGCTATGCAGTACAAGGAGCAGCCCCTGGCCTTGACTCCAACAGGTGGCCTCTATGCTATTTCCATGGGATAGTGGAAGTTAGGCCCCGGGGACCCAAAGCATTCTGAAGTTTAATCCCTCTGGCAGGAAGGCAAGATGGTTGATCAACTACTCTGTGCCACACGCTTTCCTATGTTCTTTGTAACTCATTTAATGTTACAAAATCCTGAAAGCTAGGTATTATTTTGCCCATGATAAGATAGGAAAATAGTACCTTGAAGAGGTAAAATGGCTTGTCTCTTCTCAAAAGCCACTTAGTGGCAGAGTTAGGATTTGAACCCAGGTGTTTCAGACTGCAAAGAAGACACTCCTTCCAAGATTCTGGAGTTGTCCAAAGTGTGTTCCATGAGCCTATTTCCTTTATGCTGTGTGCTACAATTTGTTCTTCTGACTCTATAGTTTGGGTAGCATTACATATTCTGCATTTCTACATTTGTAGTAAACATAAGGACACTAAAGGCTCTGAAAACTTCTACAGAGACATCGATAATTTTGACTATTGAATCCATTATTCCCCAAACTCATTCAATGATGGAAAATATTTTCATGTTTGGTGTGTAGAAAACTGAAGAACCTGTTCTGCAATGCATTGCCATAGCCTGAAATGCATTGCCAAAGGAAGTTTATGAATTGATTGAGAATTATTTTGGGGTGTTTCCATGGCAACCAGCTCAGGCTGGTTCCTTTGTGCAACCTTACCTTTAAAGAAAATGTAATTCACCAGGGCCAAAGCTGTGTCTTTGTCAAGTTCTTTGACCAAATCCACAATTTTTCCTTGGGTACCCTTCTCCACATAACTGTTGATCTGTTTCTTGGCCTCTTCAGTGTCTTGGAAATTGACTGAGAAGGCTTCTGAGTGGTACATCTTTTTGACATCCTCCAAAAACTTTGCCACTAGCTTCAGACCCTGGCTGATGAATAGACCATTGCCGGTGGTCAGCTGGAGCTGGTTGTCTGGCTGGTTGAGGGTATGGAGGAGTTCCCGGAAGCCTTCATGGATCTCATCCTCATGTGTTGTTGTGAGGTTGAAATGCAGGCCCTCCAGCATCTGGGTGTGAGTGTCAGCCTTGGCTCCCAGAGAGAGCATGGCAAAGGCTGTAGCAACACTCATTGGGGAGAAGAAGATGTTGGTGGTGTTGGACTGATGGGCCAAATGGCGGTACAGGCTCAAGGCGAACTCTGCCAGGTTGGGAGCAATCTGGTGGCAGGCTGGGAGGTTATGCTCATGTTTGGATGTATCCTGGGAAGTGTCCCCCTGGGGATCCTGAGCTAGGAAGCTGGGAGCCCAGAGACACAGGCCTGCCAGCAGGAGGAGGCCCCATGAGACAGAAGATGTCATTGTTCTGCAAGACAGAAAAGGGATGCCAGGACCCAAGTCAGGACATATGATGACTCCCAATAACCAGGGATTAACACCATGTAAAAAGCAGCCATGGTTTATTTCTATTAAGTGCCCAGCCTGTGCCAAGCGCTGTCTGTATCACCACCACTGAAAGAATCAGAATGTTAGCACAAATGTCAGTGGTGTTTACCATATGCCAAGCACTGTCCTAAGCACTCACATATATTAGCTCATTTCACTCTTCTAACGATCCTCGCAGGTAGTAATATTCCTGTTCTCCATTTACAAACCAGGAGACCAAAGCCCAGAGTGGTTAAGTTAGCTGTCCAATGTCACCAAGCAAGTCAAGTAGCAGAACTAGAATCACATGTCTAGGTCCTAGGTCCATGCTCTGGGCAGCTCTACTTACATCTGTAATGACCCTGAGGTGCAAGTAGGACAGCCACTGTTTTGCAAAAGAAGAAATTGGGGCACAGGAAGAGTAATAGACCTGCTAACGATTATCCAGGAATCAGTCTGGATCAGAATGAAGAATCACAGTCCAGCTGGAAGCCCTTGGAGTCATTTCACCCAATCTCATTGTTTAAGAGCCAGGGGAACGGCAGGGCAGAGCGGAAAGCATCTTTCACAGCGGTGCCCAGCTAGGACATGGCGGGGATGCAATAAGGCCTGCTGAGGGGGCTTCACCCACTCAGACTCACAAGGAGCCTCAGACCCAGTGCTTTTCCTGAGAGAGTGGGCTGTCCCCACTAGACTCTGTGTTCCCAGCCACAAGAACGGATTGATGTTCTCACAGTCAGCTCACCTGCCACCCTGGTCACCAACCATCTCCTAGTTCTGGGCTCTCACTTTGGGGGTTTGAGAGGGGCTCCTCTTTCCTTTAAAGCAGGGGTTCGAGGGGGTGAAAAAGTACCTCTTTTAACTCCAGGCAGACCTCAGTTCTAATCCAGGCTTGGTTATTCTGTCCAGCCGTGTGAGCTAAAACAAATCATTAATCTCTCTGGTCTCCATTTTGCCTCATACACAAAGTGAGGTTTGTGGGAGAATTAAATGAAGTAAGTGGAAGCACAGAAGCTTCCACCAAAGTCATCCAAGAGAACAATTTTTCTGAAGGAGAGGCTGGCACACATTGCAAAGTCAAGTCTTCAGGTAAGAGGCTGGGGAGGAAGGTGTGTTCCACAGCTGGGTTGAGACAATGACAACGAGTGGCGAGGACTGGGGCTGAACCTCTGCCTAACGGTGGTCAAAGTCCAGGCCGTCCAGGGCAGCACAGAGCCTGACCTGCCCCTCAGCATGCTCTGTGTCCTCGCAGGTGGGGAAACAGGTCTGAGCCAAGGAGAATGAGTCTGTCAGCCAAGAGTCACATAAATCATCATCTTAGTAAAATACAAAAAGAAAGGTGTCTGTTAATTGGGGCTAGGAAAACACAGGGGAAAAACTTGGAAATAAGAAATGTTGAGTTTTTTCTACCCCTTTGAACTTTTAAAAGTTGTTTTTTCCAGCTTGGCACCTGTAGCACAGTGGTTACTGCACCAGCCACATATACTGAGGATGGTGGGTTCGAACCTGGCCCGGCCAGCTAAACAACTGCAACAAAAAAAATAGCCTGGTATTGTGGGAGGCGCCTGTAGTCCCAATTACTTGGGAGGCTGAGGAAAGGGAATTGCTTAAGCCCAAGAGTTGGAGGTTGCTGTGAGCTGTGACTCCACGGCACTCTGCCAAGGGCAACATAGTGAGACTGTCTCAAAAAAAAAAAAAAAAAGTTATTTTTTTCGAATAAGGCAACAAAGTGAAGCACAAAACTGTTTTCTCTCTGCCACCTTTTTCTCTAATCTTCATGCCTTCAAATAAGCCAAATAGAATAGACCACACATTACATAATGCATGTTTGTATTTTTCTCAAACCAGCCAGTGTAGGTAGAGCTGAAGATGGTGCTAAAATTAGTTCTGTATGTTTCCATCTCCCTTAGATTTCTCTTTTACTTCCTAGCTGATTTTGGTGCAGTCCTTCATGGTTTATGGTAATTCCCCATCTTTGCAGGGTGCAGCGATCAAGAGGCAGTTTGACCTCCACAGGGTGGAGACAGTATGCAGAGTGACCACAGTGGGTCCAGAGGTTGTGGCTTCTAGCCCTAGCCTTGAGCAAGCATCCTCTGGTCCTGGGGCCTCCCCCACTCCCCTCCACTGTACAGAATGGGGCAGGGAGCAAATCTAACAGAAGTTGTCTGCGCACTAACATATGACTCTTAATTAGAAGGGTATCTGCATTTGGTGGAGCAAAACAGACTGAGATTCCCATGAGGAGGGGTGAGGCGGGGTGCCCTCCTACTTGGGGACTGCTAGGCTCTAAGGAGGTGGCAAGGCTCATGCAGAAAGGGGTGCTAAGGAGAGACAGCGAGGGTGAGTACATTTCCCCACCCCCATCCATCTTCCCACGTCACATCGCCTACTCTGGTTTTCTTCTGTATACAGTGAAGATCTGAGGGTCAGGGCCTTGCCAAGACCACACAGCGAATCAGTGACAAAGTTGAAACATGACTTGGTTTTCTCACAACTCAAATCGCAAACTGAGACAGCCATGTCTTTGGGTCTCAGACTCTATGCATGTCAGAACTGGGCCGTGATATTGGTCCCTAGTGTCCTGTTGGGTTCATTTTGCCTCCTAATTTGTTGTTCCTTGTAGCTTAAGGGCCCAAGACCTCTTCTTGCCCTTCTGTCAAAGGCAGCAGCCCACACTCCCAAAGGCTAGTCCTGGAGAAGCCAAGTAGAGGTGAGAAAGGGATGGCAAGTGGTCACAGTAGCCAAGCTTTAAACCAGAAAAATGAAGATCTCATGGTGACATCTCTGGAGTCCTGGGGAGGTGAGAGCAGTCTTTGTGAGACAGGGAAGAAAGAAGTGAGACACCTCTACCTAATCTCACACCATTTCCACTCAGAGCATAAAATTAATGACCCAGGGAGCATGGCCAGGTCCAGAGAAGAGAATGTGGCATAAGGTCAAACACCATGATGAAATAAGCACTAAATAAACCTGGGCGTGACCAGGCCAGGCACTTACTGGCAGGTAGCCTTGGGCAAATGACTTCAGCTCTTTGAGCCTCAGCTTCCTGTCTGTACAATGGAGAAAAGAATCCTTTGAAAGACAGGGATGAGAAATAAACAAGATAATGGGTGAGTGGGCCCCTTCCCACTCCCAGGTGTAGAAGCCATCTCTATACCTGCACATGGGATGTGCTCATGTCTGAGAGCAGCAGATTTCTTTCTAGCCAGCTGCTACATTCCCTAGAACCGATTTTGCTCAGCAATGAACAACCTTTGAGTTTGGCAAATTCTATACTCAATTCTCCAAGTATCTGTTTATTGCCTGTTAGCTGACTTACTCCATGTGAAGCACACACTGGCATGCTCATGACCTTCATCGTCACCTTTAACATCGGGTGTTTTATATGCACTGTCTCATCTAATCGACCCTCAAAGCTTACCTTATGAGATGGAAATTATTAGCTCTACTTTATAGATGGGAAAATTGAGACCCAATGAGGATAAATAACTTACTGAAAACCACAGAGTCTGGATTTAATTCTAGACACTTTGATCCCAGAACCTGACGCTTAATCTTTTTCTATGTACAAAGCTGAAGACAGAAGACTTGAAACAGAAAACTTCAGAGATGGCCTGGCTAAGTGCAGAGGGGCAGCATTGCTTTGTGGCTAAAATTAAAAGCTCTGAGGCCAGATTGCTCGAGTTCAACTTCTGTGTGACCTTAGAAAAATTACTTAACCTTTCTGGACCTCAGTTTCCTGAAGATGATAAAGCACTTCCTCATAGAGCTATTGTGCAAATTAAATACTTGCAAGAAGTGGCACTTTTGGAGGTGTTATATGGGAATCTGGCCACCTTGGCCTTGGTTATCTTTGTAGCCCTCATCTCCAAAAACAGAATTTGAAAACTCATATTCTTTCAACACTCCAGAGGTCAAGGTGTCAGGTGGGGATAGGTGAGGGCAAAGGTTATCTAGTTTTTCCCAAGAGGACAGAGAGGTTAAGTGCTACCCAAGCGTCAGAGAGTCCTCAAGGCCAGCCCAGGTTTCCTCTTCCCAGCTGGTGCCTGAGACTTGAGAGAAATATGGCAGCTCCAGGGCCAGGATCCTAGGGCCTGGGTCAGGATCATGGAGTCTGGAATCAGGTGCCTAAGTTTGACTCCTGGAGGGTGTGTGATTCTGGGAAAGTTATGACCCTCCCTGTTCCCTACCTCCTCATCTGTAAAATGGGAATAACCATAGTAACCACCTCAGAGGGTTGACGTGAGCATCAGATGCATTTACATATACACTGGGCTTAGGTGGGGCCTGGCCTAAAGTGATTACTCAAGAAGATCAGCTGGAATCCCACAGATGGTGCACCTCACAGGGCCTTCCTGCCCCTCACCTGGCACCAGGAGTGCCCAAGGGTCCACTATGCCGGGGGAGGAGGCCTGTCATGGTCCTGCTTCTGGGCATGTCTGGAGAGAATGGGACATGTGGGCATGCATTTCTCTGCTCCTCTCTGGGCTTTGACTTCTTCGTCTGTGGAGGAGGGAAATCTATGCACCCAGGCAGCAGGGAAGTGTGAGGTTTAGAAGGCGCAACTGACAGAAAGACCCGTGGGTAGACATGGGCGAGAGCAGACAGAAAGAATCCACTGCTGTTATCATTGCTGTTACCTATCTTCCCTCGTGCCCCTCCTGCGGTGCCAGAGCTGTGGAGCCAGACACCCTTGTCCAGCTCTGCTTACAAGGGCCAGCTGATTCACTGGGAGGTACTGAAGAGGCACCAGGCAGGCTCAGAAATCAGGAAACAACCTTCAGGGGCACTGTTACTATGATGATGCAGCCCCCTGCATCTTCCCAGCATCCCAGGGGAAGACCCTCCACACCCTCCTCCACCCCAAGCCAGCTCCTGCCAGGGTGGTGCAGGGACTGGGGGCCCCTCTGGAGCCTCTTCTGTGAAAGGCTTACTTACGATTGATTTCCTGTCCCCGGGCTGGCGCTGGAGACCAAGGCAGAGGAGACAGAGCCTTGGTCTTGTCCGTATTTAAGCAGTGGACACAGGGGTGACGGGGGAAGCTACTGGTGAATATTAACCAAGGTCACCCAGTTATCAGGGAGCAAACAGGAGCTAAGTCCATTGGCCGGGTCCTGAGTGGCCCGCCTACACAGCCCCACACTCTGTGTCTGGGCCACACACAGCCTCTGCTCCTCACACCAAAGGGAGTCTTTGTTCCTGCCTCATAAACCAGTGTCTTGTGTCCAAGGTGGGGGTGTCATGAGTCATATTGTCCTTGGGCCAGTACCACTTTCCTGGCCCCATACTGTCTCCGGGAAAGCCTCAGTGGCTGCTCTGCGAGTAGCAAGCTCATTGTCCTGGGGGTCCAGAGCGGGTTATGAACCTGTCTGACAAATGAGGAAACTGAGGCCCAGAGCAGAGGCTGCTCATCCAAAGTCAGCATGCCAGTCTCAGATACAAAACCCCACTTGATTTCCCCAGTGGGAAAGTGGGGCATGACGGAGGCAGTCATAGCCATGTCGGGGTGGCACAGTTGGCCGTGGGACAGGCTAGGGGCTGGAGAGGACATCTTTAAACAGGAGCTGTGCCATCCACCTCAGGCAAGCTGCTTCACCTCTCTGAACCAGGATAGGTGTTTTCACCTGCACCCTAGGTGGCTGGAAGTTCCATCTCCAAGCATGGCTGTCAGGATAAACAAAGCATCCTGGGGGAAGGTCTGGCACACAGTAGGCTCTTGACTGGCTCTGTAAGCCCTCTGTTCAGCCTGCTCTCAGGGCTCCTTTGAGCAGGAGAATGGTCGATTTTTGGTCAACCTCTGGCCTGCTTCTGACTCCCAGTAGATCAGGGTGATCCATATATCACTTAGAATTTCCTCAGGAACAAAGCCCCTGCACTGGGATAGTCACAAGCCTTTGGGGACTGCTGGAGGTTGAGGGGAAGGATGACACAGGGTCAAGTCCAGTAGGATATCACTCCATTGCCATCTTTTAAAAAACCTAAATCAGGTGGCATTTCCCGCTGTACAACCCCCATCCTGCTTGGGGGTTAGATCTTTGCTGAATGAATGCATTTGTACATTTTTGTCCCTTCTGTCATTCATCAACCCAGCTCTGACCCCACCATGGGACTTGGCCAGGTGCGGGACTCATAGACTCTGTAGCACACAAATTCAGGCCAGGGGACCCACTCGCTGGCTGGGAGACTTCAGGCAAGTTATTTAACCCATGCATGCCTCAGTCTCCCCATCTGTAAGCTAAGGCCTGTGACAGTACATACCTTGTTCTGAGTGGCTGAAATGCAGCAGTTCAAGGTAGGATGTGCACAGTATGCCCTTTATGATGTTGCTCTCCCCCATGTCAGTGTGCCTCCCTGTGTCACTTGGGGGTGGAGTAGGTGGCATTTTGGGAGCTTTCCTCCAGGCATTCACTCATTCAGTGCCCCCCCCTTACAGGAAGTAGGAAATGAGCTCAGAGTCCCCTCTCCCTTTCTCCTGTCCCCCTCCCAGCTCCATCTCTGGCCTTTCCCCTGAGCTGGCTAGATACTTCCTCCAGGACTCCACATGCACTCCCAGCTTGGGACTCTAGGCTAGGCACTAGGTTGGACTGCAGTGAGGTGAGTCTGCTCTCCATACCCTCTGGGGATTTATTCCCCTCTGTGGGCCTCTCATTTCTCATCTATACAGTGGTCTCTCTCTAAGCCCACGTGCCCCTCCCATTTGTCACACAGCAGTGGCAAAAACCCCATCATCCCCACTTTCCCCCAAGCTCTGTCCCCTCCCGCAGGTGCAGACAGGTGACCTGTGTACTGGTCGGGCAGCTGGACCCCCTACCTGGAATTCCTGGCAGCGGCCACGCCTCCTGCAGCAGCCCGACCCCTTCTGCTGAGTCTCTGCCCGCCTGTCCAGGAAGGAGGCTCTGGGTGGCAGCAACAATTGGTCCGGGAGGGGCGGGGAGCTGGGGCAGGAAGGGGCCTTGCCCATTGCCAGGTGGATGCCAGACCGGCCCTTCCAGGCCCAGGCAGTCCTGCTCTACTTGTCAGTGTCCAGGCTGTGTGATCCAGGATGAGGCACTGGGTTTTCTGAGCCTCCGTAAGAGAAGCAGGCACACCGCTCAGAGGATTACTAGAGATGACAGGTGCTCTCTTGGCACAGAGTATGGCCCATTGTCTGGCAGATTTTCCCAGCCAGCTGTAGAGGGAAGAGGACTAAGATAACTCTGAAATGCCCCTCTGTGGCTGTGAAGGGTCCGTGTGAATGCGGAAGTCATGTGTCACAGGGGGAAGCTGGGGCATTTGGAGGATGGATGAAGAAAGCGCAGGTGGAGGCAGTGGGGGCTCAAAATGGGGGCCCTGCTCTTTTGGGTCAAGGGCTCCAGGTTCAGCCTTTGCTCTGCTCTGGACACCTGTGCTGGGAAGAAGGGCTGGATGATTTGGGAAAATTAGCAAAAATAGAATCCCAGGGGTAGAGGACACTCGGTGGCCAGAGTGAGGAGAGTCTTATCTGCTTGGTTACTTCTGGAGTTGTCTCTTTTAGCAGCTGGGCTGATTTCCTTAGAAAAGATGCATCATGGGAAGATCCCGGGGGCTGGTTGTGAGTAAAGGACATCGGGGAGACCTTGCCTTTCTCCAGGGTCCTGCCTAGAGATGACAGTCTCTAGGAGTGGGCTGGAGAGAGGTGTGAGAGCTGAGGTTGGGGGTCCGCAGCACTGAAGAGGGGAGGGTGTGGGATGCCAAGGGTCCTGGGCCAAGTAGATCAAGGACTAGTGGCTGGTCAGAAGGACAACAGTAGAGTTCAGAGGGGCTGACCCTTCTGGCAGGTGCCCAGGAGAGCACTGCCCAACCCATGCACACACATACGCACCCTCACTTGCAATCCCCTACTTCCAGACGCTGCCTCCCTTCTTTGAGGGACACTGTAGGTCAGTGACTAAGGTGCAGGCTTAAGAATTAAGCATCTGGGGTGAAGCCTTAACTCCACCACTTTGCCTCTGTAGGTCTTAGACAAGCCACTTAACCTCTCTGTCCCCCAGCTTCCTCATCTGGGAGATAGGGAGAATATAGAAATAGTCACTTCTCCCAGGATTGTGGCAGTCAGATGACAACATTTAAACACTTCGGGCAGCCCCTGGCACGAGATGGGGATGTGTCCTGGACCTGGAAAACCTTTCAGATGGGTCCCTGGGGTGTAAGCGGGAGAAGGATTGCTGAACTTGACTCTAGGCTCAGGAGCAGCACTCTGCCCATGGACACTTCTGCAGATTCAAACTTCCACTTAGTCAAAAAGAGGTCACCAGTCCCCTTTCCAGGGGCCACACTCTTTACGCTTCCTGAAAGAGCAGGGCCAGGTCTTTCCAAACATGTGTGACATGCAGAGGATGTTGAGTGACTTGAACTAAGCCAACTTGGATTTGGGGGAGGGCTTCATGTCACTTCCCCGAGCCTCAGTTTCCTCATCTGTAAAATAGGGATAAGAGTCCCTTTCTTACCTAGTTCTGAGGCTTAAATGAGGTGACACTTTTGGGGTGCTTAAAACACAGCCTGCTCTGTTAGCGTAATTGACACCTGTGTCTGTCTTCTCATAACTCACGTGATTAGTAGGATCATTTGGATGTCACAAGTTGACCTTCCAGGAGATGAATTCAGTCTGCACGGTTCATTCCCCTCCTCCAGGCATCTTGCAAATCAACCAACTTTGCAACACCCTGGTGAATCCTCATGTGCGTAACCTCTGGGGCCATTTCCTGTGTGGGGGGTGATTTCTGCTTTTTATGGAACTCTTTGGCTTACTCAAAGTTTCTGGGTTTTACTCCTTATCTTTACACAGATAGAGAAAAATAAAACAAATCTATGCATTGTAAGTGACAATATAGTTAACAGAAGGAATAAAAGGTACATCTATAGCTTCACCTCCTTCTCATTAAAATTAATAAAATTAATGTCTTATTACAACTGATCTTGACTGCACTTTAACATTACTCTTTTGAGGTTATGGACCCTCAGGTTCACTATAAACTAACCACTTTTAATAGACTCAGCCTGTCCTAGTTAACTATATTTATGATTTCCGTTTCAATGTTCAGCTTGTCATGTTTTGGTCAACAGTAGAACCTTGATGTTATCTTTTTTCCCCTATCAGCAATCCCTGTTGATGTTTCAGAAAGCACACCTTTGTTTTTTAGCAATGATCCTGTGTCCCAGGCCTATTGACACTCTCTTCTGCCCTAGAACATGATGTAGGGGATCTTGCCTGGGAAAGGGAGAAAACAAGGTGTAATAACTATCCTTCTGGGAATCATGGGTGTGACTAGATGGGCAGGACTCACCCTGGCATGGGGGCCAAAGGAGACTTAACAAAACTTTGGGGCTTATTATTCAGAAATAAAACCCTGAGTGGGTGGCTCACACTTGCCCAACTTGGACCTTGGCTTGAGATGGTTCGATTTACCCTGCTGACTTCTTCATGTTGACTTTGAGCATTTCTGTTTGCTTGGCTTTAACGAGTCTCTGGCTGCTTTCATTTTATGATACTCAAACTGACTCTAATGCATGACACATCACCCCCTGCACCCTGGCTGATACTTCTTGAGCAGAGCCAGGCTCTGTTTTAAACACTTGGTCTGTATTAACTCACACAGTCCTGTGCAGTGGGCACTGTTATATCTCCTTAGAGCACGTGAGGACACTGAGGCACACAGAGTTACCTCAATGCTGACAATACACGCCTCCTTCCTCCCTCCCTTCCTCTCTCCTTCCTCGCATTTCCATACTTGCACAAACCCTTTGTAACATTAGCATAACAGCTAACAATTGTTCAGCATCTAGTTCATGCCAGAGTTTTCGCAGATTAACTCCTCATCCTCACATCAAGCCGTTGAGGTTGATGCTTTTGTTATATCCTCATTCTATAGATGAGGAAACTGTGGCTCACAGTGGTCAAGAAACTAGTCCCAGATCAGGTCACAGAGCCCCCAGCCGTGGAGCAGAGACTCTCCCAGGCTGTGTGATACAAACTGCATCTCCCGTGGCAAGTTACCTGAAGGATGTTTTTTCCATCTTTATGACTTTATACTGA